AGCATAGAACCATGGCCTAGCTCCTTAACACAGCTCAGTCACCTTTGGAAAATGAAGTCCAACAACAAGCAGCACATATTTACTACTCATTGCAGTCTTCCTGCAAAGTATTCTTACCTAGAGCTGGTTTTACTGGAGAACCCCTTGATTCCTTTCTCCCCAAACCTCAAAGACCTTTAAATAAAGAATATAACAATATTTTAGTGTACTGCTTGCTGCCCCTTCACTTCTAAGGAAGCGTAAAAGCGTAGTGAGTACATTGGAGAACAAATATAATAAGCCTACAAATGCATTCCTGGTATATTTCTAATGCATTATTTCAGTGGCTGCTCATTGGATATATAGTTATGGTTGTTAAAATATTATATACAGTGCAATTCTACTGGTAAGGTCAGGTAAAAGATAGGAACCACACATACTAAAGATGTTAATTGTGTTTTTCCTCTTCATGCAAACAAAAGTAACTGAAATATAGACGCTAGAAGAATAATATTAAAATAACATTGTGTGTATTCGAACCAGTTTCCCCCCCATTGAACAAACAACTTCAGACAGATTGTTGATTTGTATATATAAAAAAACCCAAAAACAAACAAACAAAAAACCCCTTTCGGTAAGCAGGATTATTTTTACCTCAGGTTTGCCAAGTTTGGCTGCATTTTCACTACATGACTTCTAGCACCGAGAACATCTGTAACAAAAATACAAAACACTCACAGACCACCTAACGAGCAAATGTCCCAGGACCACCAAATCCAAATACTTGTTTCTAAATCCAAGAACTGGCTGATGGCAACCATTTTCATTTTTCAGCCCCATCTCATTTCTGCCCAACATCCCCCATACCATTTAAAAAGTGGTCATCCTGAAAGACTTCTTTCTTCATACACACAGAGCTCTGGCACATGGAGGAAGCAGGATCCCTACCACCAGACAAGGGTTGATGGGTGGATACACAGGGACCCTGGTGCAGGGATAAAGGATGACTACAGAGCCCCGGGTTATGGGAGAAGGGTGCGGGGAATAATGCCATTTATAAAAGCTATAGTGAAAATGGGGAACATACACAGTCCCTTGCATGAGTGAAGAGATCGAATGAGTTTATAAAGAACCCCTGAAGTAGAGAAGGATGGGAAGATGGCACATGAAGAGCCTGACAGGTAGAAGAGGGATGAAAAGAGCCTCCTGTGTGTACAATTAGCTTAACTAGACAAAAACTATAAAGGGTGCATCCACATATACAAGTTTAGCACCACTTGTAGCTTTGTGTCTTGTACTGCAGATGCTGTATTTAAGTAAAGAGCCGGCCAATTCAATCAATCTGGGAAACATATGCAGCAGCAATTCTTTGCCCCCAAATATAACAAGTAACTAAAATTCTGTCTCCCCCCTAGGACATTGATGCTCAAGCCACGTAACTGTATCAAGGCAGCAATGTCATCCCAAGATTAGGTAAGTCTGGCTGTTAATGTTGTGAAACATTTGATAAAGAAAGAGACACAAATAAAAGTCCAAGAAATTATTTTATTCATTAGGCATAATGGGCAAAACCCAAAGTGAAACTGTTCAATATATGAAAAAAATCCAGTCAAGCACCCTATAGGACTTGTACCCAGGAACAGAGTGTATTTATTGTGTACCCTCTTAAATAGCCAGTGTTTAAATCACTCCCTTAATTTTCTTTTGCAGTTTTGAAGATCTGCTCCTGTCCCATTTTTAAGGAGCCATTTTTACCATCACACATTTTTGGCTAGTTTTCTCCCCACGTAATATATTCACATCAATCCCATCTTAGGTCTTTTGTCATACAGGCTTCTAAACCAGTCATTTCATTTCTAACTCTAAGAATGTCCTTGTGATTTATTTACATTTTAGAGGAGCTTGTGCACAGCACAAATTAGTGCAACCTGCTTTCTCAGTGCACAGACTGAAGAATGTGCACCTAAATATCAGACAGTTCTAAACACATTTCTCAGCACTCCAGATTGGTTTTTAAGCTAACAAATTATAGGATTTATAAAAATGTTTATAAAAGAAATTTTCCTTGAACTTGTACAATGCCTAAGACACAGTTGGCAAAGACACAAAATTCTTTAGCTGTTCATAATACTGAAACAATACAGAATAGTATGATGTAAACTTAGGCTACCCTACCCAAGAGAAATAGATTTTTTTTTAAATCAAGTACTCTGAAAATTGAATAAATAATTTCCAAGCCTGAAAACAGGCTGTACTGTAAAAGGTGACTGAGATTGCTTCTTGCACATTAAAACAACATTAAGGGTTTTGATCATTTGTACTGTTAAAGAGCTGAGAGAACCCAGCTATCCAGTCATTCTTGCGGGCTGCTGTAGAACCCAAACACCTGTTTCTGCTTATAACTTAAAACTACTGCAGATAGAGATAAAAATGCAATGATTAAAGTAGTGCAAATAAATTTTAAGCACTTGCAAATCCGACAAACACATTTAACAGATTTACTGAAAGCAGGAAAATTGTCATGTTAATGTTTTCTATAAGGTGGTCCTTTAGCCTTTCCCAAATGGCTAAAAAACTAAGCCTGGCTTTGGCACAGAGCAGTCATTTATACACCACAAATTACTGCAGAACATGTGCCCAACCCAAGCTCCTCACTGGTTGCTGCAGATTTCCTGAAGGGACCCCAACATAAGATTCCCAGCTATTCTTTGGGTTCTTCTTATACAAACAGTGAACCTTTTCAGGGAAAGGTGTCTGCATGGGTGAGATGCAGAAGAGCAAAAACTAGAACAGTATGAGGTTCATACCACACTTTCTACCCCAATGACAGTTTACACATACTTATTAAAAAGATCCCTTTTGGGCCCTGTCCGGACATAGTTTTTTAGCTGCCCCCAATATTTCCACATGCCAACCATAAAACAATTTTCATTAATGTAAGAAAACTGTGAAGCAGAAACAGGAAATGTTCCAAATATCAGTGACTTTATCAAATACTGTTACATCTAAAGATCAACTCAAAGTGCAGATCTTGTTTTCAACATCTCCACCATTTGCAGGGGGAGGGGGGGAAGGGAGAGTTGGTTCAAGTTGATCATTACAGCTGCTGTCTCCATTCATCATTTCACTAATAATTCTACTCCAACCATTCAGCTGAAAGTAATTCACATAGTTAACCAGGATCCCTGCATATGTATTTTGCTTTTCTCTGATTTAAAAAAAAAAAAAATCCCCAATATTTGGTTAAAAAAGTAACCCCAAATCCACATTTTTCCATGTTTAAAATGAACCACCACTGTATGCATGCATGCATATATATATAAGTGGCATTCCATTTAAATGTGGATTTGGGGTTACTTTTTTTTTTTAAACTGGAAATTGGGGATTTTTTTTTAAATCAGAGAAAACCAGGATCCCTATACATGAGGAATCATTTTGGAATCAGAGTTATGGTTGACAGCTCTTTTAACATAAACAGCAAAAAAGCAAGGTGCCCTTTCATTGTCTAAAAGTCAAAGAGGCAGCAAGTGTCCTTATATATTGGAATATCTGCACGTATGGGCCTCAAAGCTTCTTTACAATAATAATACTGTCAGATCACAGGGTCAGAATTCCTTCAATATTTACTGAAACAGTAGCCACCATTGGCTCATTTGGTATGGATGTGAAAGTCACAGCAACTCTTACAGCATTTACCTCCCGATATGATGAACGCTTCTCCCAAGAAATGTTGGTTTATGGACGCTGAACCAATTTACTCTTACTGCCTTCCTGTTCACCAAGTTTGAAGTGGGTATATGCTAAAATGCCTAACAACGTGCACAGAATCCCAAGACCTTGATTTACTGATAATGGATCCTTAAATAAGATGTACCCTCCCAGAAGAGTGATGCAGAACTTGAAGTGTCCAAACATATTATACCTGCGTATCTGTTAAGGATAACAATTGTCAAAAAAACAAATCACCATCTAAACCAAAAATAAACTGGCATTTCACATAGATTTCTTTCCGCACAACTTTCCACTTTAATCTGTGCAATTATGATACATGACAAATTGCATTTACATGAGATGTTTCATCCAACTTGCTGCACAAATCAACCAATACACAAACAACAATCACTTTATACACTTCTTACATAGAGCCACAAAGGTGCATGCAAATGTTCTTAGAAACAAAAAGATCACATTACTGCATTAATGACCAGTGTCTAAATGAACCATAAGAAAACAGGCTAAAACTGGATTGAGCTCTTACAATTGTAATATTCAGGATAAAGTTGGTAAATTACCAATTTGCCCAGGCTTTTATTTCCGTTATAATATATAGCTGAGTTACCACAAATCCTATTCATTTGAAAACAGGAAGTGACAAACACAAAGGATACGTGACAGGAGAGGTATTTCCAATGATCCAGTAAATGGACAAGTTTACCATAAAGGCTATTATACCAGACAGCAGCACCATTATCTGTCGATTAACAGACACAGTCAGTAATCCAACATATTTCTCACCATCTTCAGTTACACCTCAAGTTAAGTAAGTTTCTTTACTTTCAAATACAAATCAGGAAACATCACATAAGAGAACAAAGAAAACTGAGAACAGAAAAATGTAAATATGATTTCAAATTCAGTGCAGACAACTTGAATAAGAAGTTCAGAACATGCTCATGAAAGGCAAACAGTGCTACAACATGCATTGTTTCTTCTTTACTCCCTCTGTCTGAGGCAGTGGCCCCAGAAATTCAACTGAGCCCTCACAACAATTTTATGCGATAGGTATAGCTGAAGGAAATTAGCTACTTTCTTGATTTCTTGTAACTAAGACTCCTACATGCAAACATGAGTGGGCTGAAAAAGATACTCAGTCAAATCTACTGACAAAGATGCCGAAGTGGCACAAAGTCACCCCTCTCGCTTCCTTTACTGTTAAAAGCTATATTTGAACCTATTGTACTAAGTGATAAACGCAGTGGTATCTAATTTAAAATAAAATAAAAAGAACAAATAAATCTTACCACAGCAGAAAGTGTCCATGGTCCAAATATCCCCCCTTCTCCAAATACTGGCTCAAAGAAAGGTACGGTGCAGAACAACATGACACAGGACATTGGTGCCTGATAGTACAACAACTGCATAGAGTTCACCTGCAGCTCATGCTGCTTGGCTCCCACCCACTAAAACCAAGAGGAAAAATGGTGTTAAACATGAGAAAAATCAAACCCTATCATAAAAGCAAACTTAGCTACTGATGTGGAGGGAATTTAATATGGACAGTATTGTTTTCCACCTCTTCTTATGTCTCAAACAGAGATGTACTGGTCTCCACTTTACTCTGGGTAGACAGTGCTGAGCAGACTGATGAGGGGAAAAAAAAAAAAAAAAAGAACACGAATAATTTCTTTCAACAAGCTGTCTAACAGTTAGCTCTTGACTTTTTCTCCCTTTGTTTCTCTTCCCATATTTTATGAGAAAAGTCTTCTACCTGAGTACAGATAGAAAAGTGGAAGGGCTGTAAAACTGCTGGCTCCTGTCTTTCTAATACTACACTCTGAACCAAGTGTAAAAACATACCTTCCACAAAAAGAGCAAACAACATTGTGAGATCTACTAGTACTTGTAATATTCTGTATTGGGGGATGCCACAGCATGATTATCAAAGTTGCAACAGACTACACCATGTTACTGGCATGCTATCAACATAAAACTTAAAATCTCACATATTTTAACACAGAATATTTTATGCTGTTCTTCAAAGCATAACAACTTTGCAGTGTATCCTTATGACAGAGGTCCATAGGGAACCCATATTTCAAGTACTACACGGTATCATTACATTACAAATAAAGCTCCTACCATAATATGTATGTTACTTATCTGTATCTCTTCCTTTTTATTTTCCACTTCATTTATCACTAACCACTATATGAGCAAACACACATAATGAATACCAATTTAGCTTTCAGTTATACTATGCATGAACTTATTTTGATATAGAAAACCCCAATTTTAAACAATATGCATAATTCAGAATAATTGCTGCATGTTAGTTTCTATGATTACTAAGATGAATGTTATAAGAAGCTGGGAGACAAAGGATTTTTAATGCTTAATTTAGCATTTTACTGAAGAAATGCTCTACAGCTAACATTTAATAAAATTAATATAGTGAAATGATCATGGCTCTAAATTAAAACACATCAAAGCTTTCTGTGAAAGGACAAGACATGATTTCACCTAAATATCAACTTAGATATCTGCAAGATACGCGCAGTCTGGCCAGGTAATGCTGCCTGTTTCTCTTGTTTCTTTTAATACATTTTAAGACCAAAAGGAACCTTTATCTTCATGCATTTCAGGGGCGGGCAATTATTTTTGGCAGACGGCCGCTTACTGAGTTTTGGCAAGCCATCGAGGGCCGCATGACAGGCAGCCCAGGGCAGATAAATATTAATTTTCTAAATTTTTTAGGGATCCTGTGGGCCAGATGGAATGGCCTGGTGGGCCACATCCAACCTGCAGGCCACATTTTGCCCACCCCTGATGTAGTCTGACCTCTTGAAATACAGGCCAACCAATTCACTCTACCAGAGCTACTTATTGTGCTACCACTTGTGAATCAGAAAGGCATCTAGTCTAGGAATTTTGATCTAAAGATATCAAGCGATGAAGGATCCACCTCAACAAGATGAGAACTCTATCCTGGGAAAAAGGAATTTGTAAAAGGACTTTGGGATCCTGGTGGATAATCAGCTGAGCTTCCAGTGGGAGGCCAGGGCTAAATGTAGCCCTGGATGCATAAACAGTGGAATGTCAGACAGGAATGATATACTACCTCTTTATCTGTCACAGGTGCAACCACTACTGAAATACAGTGTCCCATTGTGGTGTTCACAGTTCAAGAAGGATGTTGAAATATTGGAGATGGTTCAGGGAAGAGCCATGAGAATAATTAAAGGATTAGAAAACATGCCTTAAAGTGAGACACAAGGAGCTCAATCTGTTTAACTTAACAAAGAGAAGGTAAAGGGGTTACTAACGGGGAAAGAATTCTGATAACAGAGAGCTCTTCAATCTCAGACAAAAGTGTAAGAAGATCCAATAGCTGCAAGATGAAAGTAAGCACAAGGTTTTGACTCTTAAGAATCATCAATAACTAGAACAACTCCCCAAGCACTGTGGTAGATTGTCTGTGACTAGAAATTTTAAAGTCAAGAATGGATATTTGTCTTTTCTAAAAGATATATATGCCAATTCAAGTAGATATCAACTCAGGTAAGCCCAATGTCTTGCATTAAGACAGGAGCGCAGCCTAGATGTCCACAATAATCCCCTATAATTTTATAATCTTAGAATCCTAAAATAAACTGTACCAATGGTCAGTCCCTTGCACTGTTAAAAATGTACACCTTTTCTGAAATAGCCCACAAGCATCTACAGTCACTATATCTATATACCTTTTTCTGCTTGAACAAAGAGATGTCTGTTAAATGAAATCTCTTCCCCATCTAGGCACTGGTATAGTGTTGCAATAGCTTTAAAACATTTCTAGACCATTCAGCTTGTTGACATTATGTTCCAATATTTGAAACACTGTTGACCAGTCAGTTCTGTTGCAACATTTGGTGAAAAATAAAAAAAGAAAGAAATAATAATAGTTACCAACCACTTGGTACAGAGATGTAACCAGAACACCCAGAGTAGCAAACACGATTCCAAGGAAGTTAAACTTGACATCGTAATAGGAGTTTAAGAACACACCTAAAGTTATGGGAATCTGCAAGAAAAAACACACAGCAGTTGATATTATTTACATTTACAGGAGGTGGAAGTCAATGGCTTGAAACTTAGTGTACCCATGATGCTTTGGAAGTGCCTTCCCCCATCCATCCCGTAACCAGCTGACCTAGAGTTCCCCAGGCCTTCCAGTAGTTACAGAACAAGAGCCACCGCATTCAACTTCCACACACAACTTCGCAGCTGTCCTTCTCTCCCTGCTTCAGGCAAACCTGCATTTTCTCCTGGGCTGGCTCCTACCCAGGCTTGTCAGAGATGGGACTCGAGCCACGTATCCCTCAACACAAGAGAAGCAGAAAACCGCCACACACACACCAAACCTGAGCCCGGCGTTGGGGCTCTGCTGAGCGGCCTGGCAGGGCCCGCAGGGCGGCTGTGGCGTTGGTTCCAGGGGTTCAAGGGACCGGGATGTGCCCAAGGCAGCGGCACCCCAGCACAGAGCAGCCCAGCCCACCTTTCTTGCCCAGAGGCTTTGCCAAAGGGCTGGGCCTGGAAGAGGCAGGGCAAGTGAGAGAAAGGCCCCTGCCACACACCCGGGGGCATCACAACGCCCCTTCGGCCCCTCACCCACGGTCCGCCCCAAGCTCTCCGAGCCCCGGTGGCAGAGGGCCCCCCTCACCAGGGTAAGCTTGATGCGCAGGGGGAAGGTCTTGCCATAGGCCAGGGTCTGGATGGCCACGATGGCCGGGGTGGTCATGGCCTTGGCCAGCTGGTAGGTGCCGATGGTGTTGTTCTGCAGGGACAGGTTGGTGAAGACCACGAAGCCGCAGAAGCTGAGGGCCAGCGGCAGCACCTGCCCGGGCCGCAGGCTCTTGGGGGCGAAGACGCCCAGCGCCTGGCACAGCGACAGGCCGAG